ATTTGGATATTAAAGCAAATTGCACGCACCAAAGCCCCAGCTTGAAGAACACAGCTTCTGTCAGACTATTTTCTTTACTTTGAAAATAACAAGGTTAGCAGGTTTTTATGTCCGAAATTCATGCAGGGTTCAGTCATCTTGCCAAGGTCAGGCGAAGAGGAAGATGCAATCACAGAGTGGCGCCTGCCTCAGAGCACGCAAATTGGCTTCAAATTGTGTAGGTGTTCCCCATGAGGAGGTCTTTCTTGGGATTCTTGTGTAGTTCTGCCAGACATGGGATACAGTATCCTCTTCGACGTTGGACACTCTTTCTATCAACTACACGTGCCACGATGTGGGCCAGAAATCTTTGCATCATGGTATGCCCCCAATTCCCACTTTGGGCTTGAAACTCGACAATTGCAGGGCCCACTGCGAGGGCACGAGCAAGCGAGCAGCAAACAAGCAGCACTTGAAGACACAACCCCCAAGCAACTTCGGGCCTACAATCGGTTATTTTGTAGTGCTCATTTGAAAGACATGTTTCGGCAGCTGCTATCAATCCATTCCCCCTGACCATAGATGTCCCCAGATCTACACAATGGTATTGCTTCGAGATGTCTAGGCTCGGGCATCATGATTTCAGCATGCTTCCAGCTTAGAAGGCCTGCATGTCAGAAAATAGAACAACCTATAACTACCAGTAGAAGGACTGCTTTCGTTTCACAATACACCTAGCTAGCCCCTAAAACCAGGTCATTAGGTGCCTAAATCCCTAGGTCATCCCTGTTTCCATTTCATTTCACATTTCCATTTCACTTGATTCCCCATTATTGGGGCTAATATCCTTCGACCCTGTATAAACCATCAAACCTCAAGCCTTCACCCCACCCCGGTTTAGGGTTCAGGGTTTAGGGTTTAGGGTTAAACCTTAAATCCCGAACCGATACATCACCAACAACGGACTGTAGGACCTCCTCAATTGATCAGGCTTCAACTCGCCTCCAGGTTGGAGGTGGGGTTCCGTTCCTACATCACTTTGCAGGGTTGTGGTTAACGAATTTAGGGGTTTAGGGGTGTCACGGTGTAGGGTTTAAGGATTTAGGGTTTATTGTTCAGGGTTTACGGATTAGGGTTTAGGGTTTTTGGGGTTCCAACCCCAGTATAAGATGATTTAATCCTGTTGTGGTATACTATAGTATACGGCAAGGTATATTCTTTCAAACATCCCTACTCCCCCTACCATGCATGTCCCCTATACATTTTACATTGCCGTATATTATATAGTATAGCACAACAGGAACATCAAATATTTGGGGGAGTGGGGATGTGTCAAAGAGGGGCTAGCAACCCTATCCAATTTAACCCACATAAAACCAGACTTTCGATGCAATTGTCCATGGTTTTTTCTCAAGGCTATTGTCCACTCTAGGGGGTAGTGTCCTTAGACCCCACAGAATCCCCATATACTCCTACCTTAAGCCCTAGCTGCATAACCCTTAGATGCTTCTTTCGAGGCAAGAGAACAGATGACCTAATGGTATAAGCCTCCTTTGAGGGGTTATAGTTATAGGAATGTAGAGGGTTTTAGGGGAATTGGGGGCCTAAGCAATTGCCAGTCAGGGAGAATAAACTGGAAAAGAAAACCAAAATTGTTTAAACGCTGCTTTGAATGCTGGGATTACGTAGGTTTTTCTAGAAGTTATGTATTGTAGGAGCCTAAGTAGGTACCAAGATATATGCCTGGATGCTCTGTACAGTTGTGGTAGAGGGTACCTCAAACAGACCTCAACACGATACTGTCGGTTCGGGAGACCAGTAAGTGGAGTTTTGAGAGGTTTTAAGTGAGATGCCGACACCTACATGTAGACATAAGCCTGACAAAAGCTTAATTGGAGTAATTCTGCCTCCCTTTTCAACGGGGGAATCAGACGTCTGCACGCAGGCCAACCTGGGAAGTTTAAACTCCGAGCTTGATGCTCGCGCGGAGACGGGCGACGTTGAAGGCTGCCTGTCTGCAGCCCAGGACAGGTCAGGTGTATATATGTCCATTACCCACAAAAAGAATAATGACGTGGTTAGATGTATAACTGCGTCTAACCTCTCCTTGGAAAGTCATGGTCATTTTTGGCCAGATGGAACTTGCAAGAGGACACCAATGCCATCATGGAAGCTAAAATAGGTTTCAGCTGTGTTGTGACACGCAACTCTCTTCCGCGAACCCTGCATGCACGACCTGTAAGTCCTCATAGAGCCGTCGCTCAGCATGATCTCGATGCCTGCTCCAGGATACCTGACGGGTCTTCCCACCTGCGAGACCCATCAAACCATGAACTTGAGAACCTACTCCACATCCTAAACCCGCTGCATTGGGAAATTTGATGTTGAGCTTCATGCCAACTCAGTGGAGAGCTTCTTCTTTGTCTTGGCTGTCCAGTCATTTCCAGGCACGGCCTCCTGGAAACGTTTCCTGGTGGGGAAAAGCCCCTACCCTAAACTTCAAACCCTAAAAAACATCCTGCTTACATGCTTCAGCTGTTTCAAGGCGCCATGGCTGCCGTGGGCTGAGAATGTTTTGCTGAGGGAGAATGTTGAGCTGCAGCGCCAATCCTCTCATCCACTCCCTCTAATATTACACCCCCCCCACCCCGCCTGACATCAAATATTCCCAGTATACTATGATATACCAGAATGGGAGTATTTAATTTTAGAAGCTGTTTTCTAGACCATTTGAGTAGAATTCGCGTGAGAACCTCCATGGAATCCTTATGTCATCCCTAGACTTCCTTACAGTATGTGGGGGATTGTCAAAATTATGGTCCCTTTTTGGGTCCCCTAAATTAGGCCCCGTATTAGGCCCCGTATTATAATAGGGACCCAAAAGGGGACCATAATTTTGACAGTTCCCCATGTGTGTGCCTACAGGACCTTAGAGGCTTTAGCTGCAGGTCATGGCTCGGATTCGAAGCCTCCGCTTGTGGCTCAGGCCCTTGAGGTGGTTTCAGGGTTTGGGGATTTGGGGGTTAAGGGTTTAGGGTTTAGGGGGGTTTAGGGTTTAGGGTTTGGGGATTTGGGGCTCAGTATGGTATCTCGATTGAACGTCTAGAGCGTAAGGCACAAGGAGCAAATTCTTTCATGGGCACATGGGGCCTAATGCTGGCACGGCACACTGGTAGCGCTATTCAAGGCGTGATGCTGCCTTCATGGCACTTTGCGTTGCTTCAAACATTTTAGTTTGCTTCGTTTCTTGTCGCTCTTTCATTTTTCAGGGGGGATTGCCAGGCCAGGCAGCTTGTAAGTTTTCCAGAACATAAATGTGCGAGAACAGTTCCGCTACGCAGCTTGCTTTACATGATAGAGGTTTGTCTTCAATCTGCGACTGCTAAGAAAAACGTAGGCTTCCCGAAAGTTCGTACGACACTTGGGTTACTTTGCTTGCTGCGCCCCATCTACAGGAAGTGGGTAACTGTAGTGAAGCCGCATGTCAGATATCTGAACGCTGCTTGTTAATCCTCGGCCTCAAACACTTGCACGAAGTACCTCCTGAATCCTAATCCTGCCCCCAAGGCCTAATGGCCTAATCACCAAATTTACGCTATACCAACAAGACGAAGTGGCAGGTTGTTCACAATACATGTCTCAAACTGCCATGAAGTAGGCTGGCTTGTTTGTTAGGCTCGCATTTTTGAGCTGCAGCATGCTTTCCTGACAGCCGCCCTTTGAACAATTTTCATGGGGGGTTTCCAAAATTATGGTCCGATTTACTACCCCCAAATATTCGGTGCCGTAATATAATGTATATCCAAAGGGGACCCATAATTTTGAGAACAGCCCTCATGTTGATGCTGCCGATGCTGAAGCCTAAGGTTTGGTGCCAGACGTGGTTACCTACACCACGCTCCTGAAGGAGAGCCCTGACACCAGACTTTCTGTTCCAGGATATAGGTGGACGTTTCCACAAATCGCGAGTCGATGTAGGTGGTCGTTTCCACGAATCACGAGTCCCGTTTTGATGAAGTGCGTTATATCAGGAGCGCACACATTCCTGATTTTCAGGTGTTTACCGTTTGGTGCTTTTTGGGTTTAGTCTCCGATGCAGCTTTTGATGCTTTGCCCTCCAATCTAAGCGACCAACTCGCAATAAGACTCATAAGATCCTTGGGGAGCATCTGAGTCTTTGGAACCAAAATTTATTCCCTGAAGCAGTGGCATTACAGAACTACTGTACCTGCTAGAGCTCCCTACAGACTCCCGATAAATCCCCAACTGACGAGATTACCCTAGCCACTATAGACTTCGTCAAGGCACCTATCATAAGCAAAGCCTTCTTGTTTCATGTTGAATCCTGTGAGCCCTCTTCTTGAAACATCGAACCCCTGAAGCTCGATCCCTGTTTCTCTTTTACATTCTCTCATCCCCGACTCCAGTCAAGGAGTAGACCCTCAACCTTGTGTATCCCTCTCAACCCCTAGTTTCCATTTTGATTTTCGTTTCTACTAACGACCAGCAAGTAAGGGCCGTACTGTCAGGCTGCAGGTCGGAGCCGAAGGGTCGGCTCCGCAACGGTGGAGGAGATCTTGGGGTCGGCAGCGCAGGCTGAGGGTTGGGATTCAGCCCCAAACTAATGTGGAAGTCTTGAGGTCTCAGAGTTTTTGATATATATATATATGTGTGTGTGTGTACATGGATTGAAGAGATATTTGTTGGAGAGGAGACAGATTCCGGGCATCTTGGGGCTTTCTCTGTTTTTCTGCAATTGCACTGTGGTAGAGTCTTCATGCTTAAGCTGACGACACCAACAACAATAAGGAGACGCTCATATGACTATGATAGGATCAGGGTTCTAACTTTAGGGGTTGGGAGGATTAATTGCAGCGCAGTGGGTGGGCTTTTGGCTGTTGGAGCAGGTTTGTGGGTCCCAAGAGGAGTCTGCGGTGCTTGTGCACACGATGCAGCCATTCAGGCCCTAGTTAGTTTAGCAGAGTGAAGCACCCTGTCTGAAAGGGCTGGTTGGTGCAGCCATGCAAATATTTGTGACTTGGCTTCCCACTGCGTTTTTGGGATTGTGCAAGTTATGCAAGGGAAGGGCAGCGGCAGACGTTTCACCTCCCGAAGAAAAACTGGCAGAAGCCTGAGGTGAAGACGCTTACGGGCAAGACCATCACGCTCGACGTGGAGGCATGTGGAGTGTGTGAGCGAAAGCTGGAACTGTTAGGTTCGGGGCTTTTGCAGAGTGGAAATGATCGTGTTAAAGCAGATTTGCACAACAAATGAACCCTTCTGGGCCGCGAACTGTTGGGGTCAAAGTGAAGCGCGCGTCGGAAGCTCAAGTTTGCGGACACTTTCCAAAAACTTCCTTGGACGCGATTGAAACATGTTCACGCGTTTCTGGTCAAGCGCCTTCAGGTAGTGAGCACCCATCACACTTCACAGGAGGAGCTGGTTTCCACCCAAGTTGGTACATATGCGCCATATGGTAGTTTCCCTCAATGGGCGCACTCCAATATAGACCCCCAAATTAGAAGTCTCACTATAGGGACCCACAACGTAGGGACCCCAAAATAGGTACCCCTAATTCGGAAACCCTAAACTCTCTACCACCAAGCTTACCGGAGGTTAGTAGGGAATAAGGAAGTACATTCCACAAGGATTTTGAAGGATTTTCTGGAGATGATGTAGGGATTTTAGAGGAACGATATAGGGGCTTTGTTGTTATTGCCCGTTGCAGGTCCTTCCTTTTCAGTTTGCATACCGGCTGCCCTTAGGGCCGGTGCGTCCCATGCATTCCTGCTGCTGCTTTCCTAG